TATATAAATTGTATATAAAATGGTACTGATTGGCTCTTGAAATACGCATGAATGCCAGGGGGAAATTAACATCAATCTTACGTAAAATGAATGTAAACATGCTGCTTGGGAACGCTTTCCGAACTTAAGGAGTAAATCGTTGAATAAAAAATACTCTTCTTTTTCCAGCGAAGAAAAAGCAAAAATGCTGGAATAAGTATTGGTATTTAATTATTCGCAGGAGAAATAGCATTCACTAATGGTAAGAATAATTTGCTTGAAGTCATGAAAAAAAAGGTGAATTTAGAACAGTAACTTAGCTCAAGGCCCATGCTGTCTTCTCATGCAATCAATTCTTTCTCATTATTTTCATTACACCTCACCGCTTCCTTAAATTAGCGGTGTCTATCTATAACAGTCCTAGAAAGGAAAGTTCCACGTAAAGATGATGAGATTTAGTTGTACTGATGAACCGGATTTTTGATGTAACCGAGGGACTAAATAAAATCCGAGAAGACCTCGATGAAAAATATCTCTGCTGATGCATGAAGCAGCACCACGTGTCATGGTCAATTTTAAAAATGTATATAATGATTTAATTATAGTCACTTTTAAAGAACACCATTAGAAAAAATGCTTTCCGTTGTTGCGTGGAAATAAGGCTTTCCTTTTGATTGCTCAAAATCCTGAGTTGCGAAAACGGGAGGTCGGGAAGCCTCTTTTCCATTCGCATAGTATACAATAAATGGACGCGCAGGATTAATCTATATCATAAATGGAACTGGAAGGTGGACCCTTTCGAAAGTTCGTCTTCGGAAAATTGTCAGCAGTGCGGTTGAAGGAAATATTAACCCTTTCATGCATGATGTCCACTGTAGCAGACGGCAATGATTTTTGCTACAATAAACGTTTTTCAGCCACGGTACTCATGCCCCGAACTTTTGGTGCATACAATCCCTTCCAGGACAAATAATCTATTCAATGTTACCCTCTAGCGGTGGAACATGCGACTACTATGGCAAAGTACCTACTTAAACGTCCAAACCAAAAAGAACATGATTTTGTATTGTTTTAAAAATTCATGCACGAAGTGGTTGAACTTGGCCCGGACAAAATTATTAATCAGCGAGAAAAATGCAATTTAAATTGATTAAATCATTAATGAATTACATCAGTCCTGAAAATAGACTGGATACCCTACTTGACACACGGTGGCGTCGTCTCTGTCCTTGCCGGCGCAGAATTGAGTGTTCAGGTCCAAAAAGTCGTCGACCTCTGGGCAGCTGACATCCTCCGGCACGGGATGCACGATCCCCTTCTGGAGGTGGTCGTTGAATAAGCCGCTCGCCGTCGCGCCCCAGCCGGCCAGCGTCAGGTTCAGCCCTTCCTCTGATTCGGTTGGAGAGAAAAAAGATATAAGAAAAAATATATTTAAAAAATTATACTAATAAAATAAGGAATCAGCTGAGACGAAAAGAGCGTATAAATATGGACAACCGTTTGGATTCGTGTCTGTTTTTAATCACTGATCCTCATTGATGACATTCTCCTCGTACGGAAATAAACTAGAAATTGAGTGATTGAATTGCACAGGTGCAGAAGATGAAACAATGGAAGAGTCAGGCGTTTTTCTTGGTCGAAGCCGGTCTGATTGGATTAACTATGAATTCGTCACGAGCCGGTGAGGGTTCCCGAATGGAATAAGAAAGTCCTGAGGGCAATAATATACTACTGCACAATCGGGAAATTGGTCGAATTTAGCGTTTCCTTTGCTCTCTCCATGTGGCGAATCGGGGCGCAAGAAAGTGCCATATCCTCTAATTGTCCTTGGCCTTGCCGATCTTAGGATCCCAAGGACACATTCCATTCGACGCAACAACATTGTGTTAACATTGACAAAAAGTTGAAACGTAGCCGAAGTAGAGAATTCGCCGAAGAATCAACACCCATGAAGTGCAGGTTACTTGTAATTGACCACATTTTTAGCAAGTAGACCAGTGGTTCTTAAGCTTTTTTGGCTGCGACCCAAAACCCGGTCGTGGGGCTAACTTGGCAACCCATGCCCTCTAACAGTCCACTTGTTATAAATGATATGTGAAAGTTCGGACAGTCACTGGAGACCCTTGGCGACCCAATTTTGGGTCGTGACCCAGGGGTCAAGAACCACTGATGTAGACACTACTCATGGATTAGTGAAGTTAGTGGAAGTTAACAAGTGTAAATTTGTTTCTCATATTTGCCTTCATCATATTTTCAATGTTTCAACACGGAATCATCCTATCATCTCAGCAGAAAGTAGGTTCTACCAATCGACGCGAGATGGCACCTAATTTAGTGATTCTCACCCTGGTGCCCTGAAAAATACAGTTCCCTGTATTATTAGTTGTAACTTAACTCCGTACTGTATAAATACTGTAAAGTATTTCTCCGTGGGATGATTTTATTTACCAGAGTACATTGAAGCTCTAATGTCAGTGCACGTTCAAGCTCGGGAAAAAGTAATGCCCAAACATCGACAATTCAACGTTGGCACAACATGCCGCATTTATCAATGTTGAGCTGTTTCATTTCGAAAAATCAATCCTCGCCCAGCGTTGACCTGACTTTGTCGTGCCGAATGGGATTTTCACGCAAAACGAGCATTTTAAAGGAGAGTCTTGTGTCTCGAGCGAGTTGGACTGAAACAGCTGATTTTCTGCAACAGATGACGAACCAGAATTCATCAGCCAAGAATGTGATTACGGGGTTAATCAGTTCATTTATCATGGAATGGACATGCAAGGCGGCGGCTCATATGAACAAATTAAGGTTGCAATACTCCATTAAAAATCTATTTTTTCGAAGAAAAATTCGTTTTCCCGCGAAAATAGGCTCAAACTATACTTCAGACACTGAAAATTGGAAAAATAATGGAACTTAATTATTTAGGTGCAATTTTAACTAATTAGTGTAATATTGTCTTAATTTCATCTCCTTAGTTCCGACTTAGGCCCTTCGATACCATATGTTTGAAAAGAGGAAAAATGAAAAAAATTCCAACGCTATAATTTTCGCAGAAGCATGTAATTCACTCTTAATTCCACCCCCAGGTGCCTAAATTTCTTGCCGATACCTCTTACTTAGTTCCGTTCACAGGCATTTTAAACTTCCTCAGCCCACTCGGTATAAAATGAATTAGAAACGACTCCCCCGGCTTTTCCCCCGAACCAATCATTTCCGAGTGGAAACTCCGGCGGATATTAACAGAGTCTCCAATACCAAGTTATACCACTCGGCCCGTCGTGCGACGACTTCTCGCGAAGTACCGGGTGCACACAAATCTATGGATACACTTTTATTTTGAATGAAATAACCTATGCAATACCGAAATTTGGAGTTAGTCATAACATCACAAGCTTATTCCTGCATGGTCATGAAAAGTCCAATGGAGTAATTATAGGAGAACGCGGGAAAAAGTCAATTGGAGCAAATGGAAGGTGGATCGGTCGTGCTGGCCCGAATACGTGACTGTCACTTTCCACCGGGAGCGTATCGAAATATCGAACACCNGACATCCTCCGGCACGGGATGCACGATCCCCTTCTGGAGGTGGTCGTTGAATAAGCCGCTCGCCGTCGCGCCCCAGCCGGCCAGCGTCAGGTTCAGCCCTTCCTCTGATTCGGTTGGAGAGAAAAAAAGATGTAATAAAAAATATATTTAACAAATCATACTAATAAAATAAGGAATCAGCTGAGACGAAAAGAGCGTATAAATATGGACAACCGTTTGGATTCATGTCTGTTTTTAATCACTGATCCTCATTCATGACATCCTCCTCGTACGGAAATAAACTAGAAATTGAGTGATTGAATTGCACAGGTGCAGAAGATGAAATAATGGAAGAGTCAGGCGTTTTTCTTGGTCGAAGCCGGTCTGATTGGATTAACTATGAATTCGTCTCGAGCCGGTGAGGGTTCCCGAATGGAATAAGAAAGTCCTGAGGGCAATAATATACTACTGCACAATCGGGAAATTTGTCGAATTTAGCGTTTCCTTTGCTCTCTCCATGTAGCGATCGGGGCGCAAGAAAGTGCCATATCCTCTAATTGTCCTTGGCCTTGCCGATCTTAGGATCCCAAGGACACATTCCATTCGACGCAACAACATTGTGTTAACATTGACAAAAGATTGAAACGCAGTCGAAGTAGAGAAGAATCAACACCCATGAAGTGCAGGTCACTTGCAATTGACCACATTTTTAGCAAGTAGACCAGTGGTTCTTAAGCTTTTTTGACTGCGACCCAAAATCCGGTCGCGGGGCTAACTTGGCGACCCATGCCCTCTAACAGTCCACTTGTTATAAATGATATGTGAAAGTTCGGACAGTCACTGGAGACCCTTGGCGACCCAATTTTGGGTCGCGACCCAGGGGTCAAGAACCACTGATGTAGACACTACTCATGGATTAGTGAAGTTAGTGGAAGTTAACAAGTGTAAATTTGTTTCTCATATTCGCCTTCATCATATTTTCAATGTTTCAACACGGAATCATCCTATCATCTCAGCAGAAAGTAGGTTATACCAATCGACGCGAGATGGCACCTAATTTAGTGATTCTCACCCTGGTGCCCTGAAAAATACAGTTCCCTGTATTATTAGTTGTAACTTAACTCCGTACTGTATAAATACTGTAAAGTATTTCTCCGTGGGATGATTTTATTTACCAGAGTACATTGAAGCTCTAATGTCAGTGCACGTTCAAGCTCGGGAAAAAGTAATGCCCAAACATCGACAATTCAACGTTGGCACAACATGCCGCATTTATCAATGTTGAGCTGTTTCATTTCGAAAAATCAATCCTCGCCCAGCGTTGACCTGACTTTGTCGTGCCGAATGGGATTTTCACGCAAAACGAGCATTTTAAAGGAGAGTCTTGTGTCTCGAGCGAGTTGGACTGAAACAGCTGATTTTCTGCAACAGATGACGAACCAGAATTCATCAGCCAAGAATGTGATTACGGGGTTAATCAGTTCATTTATCATGGAATGGACATGCAAGGCGGCGGCTCATATGAACAAATTAAGGTTGCAATACTCCATTAAAAATCTATTTTTTCGAAGAAAAATTCGTTTTCCCGCGAAAATAGGCTCAAACTATACTTCAGACACTGAAAATTGGAAAAATAATGGAACTTAATTATTTAGGTGCAATTTTAACTAATTAGTGTAATATTGTCTTAATTTCATCTCCTTAGTTCCGACTTAGGCCCTTCGATACCATATGTTTGAAAAGAGGAAAAATGAAAAAAATTCCAACGCTATAATTTTCGCAGAAGCATGTAATTCACTCTTAATTCCACCCCCAGGTGCCTAAATTTCTTGCCGATACCTCTTACTTAGTTCCGTTCACAGGCATTTTAAACTTCCTCAGCCCACTCGGTATAAAATGAATTAGAAACGACTCCCCCGGCTTTTCCCCCGAACCAATCATTTCCGAGTGGAAACTCCGGCGGATATTAACAGAGTCTCCAATACCAAGTTATACCACTCGGCCCGTCGTGCGACGACTTCTCGCGAAGTACCGGGTGCACACAAATCTATGGATACACTTTTATTTTGAATGAAATAACCTATGCAATACCGAAATTTGGAGTTAGTCATAACATCACAAGCTTATTCCTGCATGGTCATGAAAAGTCCAATGGAGTAATTATAGGAGAACGCGGGAAAAAGTCAATTGGAGCAAATGGAAGGTGGATCGGTCGTGCTGGCCCGAATACGTGACTGTCACTTTCCACCGGGAGCGTATCGAAATATCGAACACCGATTTATCGGGAGTAGCATCGCCGAAAACTCGAAAGATCGATTTATCAAATGGACGAAGCTCCAAATATCGAATAAATTTGTCGAAATGATATTTCGCAGAAGAAAAATCTTTTCGATGAAAACAGATTTTCGTTGAAACATCAAAATGTAGGGAAAAAAAAACTATTTTGGAATCATGGGTTTCATCTCAAAAGTCAAGGTCGAGTAGTTAAATGTGAAAGACACCGGTATGTTGCATTCTTTAAAAAGAAAAAAAAGAAAAAAGAAGAAACATTAGAGGAAGACCCTCTCAAAAAAGACTTTTTTGGATGGGCCCGGATGGATCGTGCCGTAAGTACTCTGCAGAAGAGGACTTCCCCATATCTTTGGACCGAAGAATTTGGTCCATCTGTGTCACAGCCGTATGCCAGCAACCAGGACCCGTGTATTTACAGTATATTTCTTCCTGCGAAGCACCTCTGAGTAATTCATCCCCAAAGAATTAGTAATATCACAGGTTCACTTTGTAACTTGATAGCCTCCGGGGACTCTTGGAGTTTATTTATGCTCCTACTCAACGTTTGACATAGGCCTGACAAGTAGCGAACTAAGACTTCACCAAAGGCGTTTGTTTCTCGTGCTTTGTCGTTACTTTGGTAGATGATGGGGCCTCCAGGAAATCAATGAATCAGCTGATGCCTGGAGCAGACATACTAGGCTCGTATATTTGATTGCCATCTAAAGTATTAATCGTGAGGGTAAAAATGATATCTGGCGTGGCATAAACTTAACTTGTAATGATATTAATTAATTAATCAATCAGCATACAACTTTTTCAAACTTAAAGAAGCCGTGAAAAGTAACTCCAAGTATAAAAGAAAATCCTGATGGAATGAATGCATCCGAAATATACTGTTACAGTCGTACCACTATCTCCTTGATTTGGCAATGCTGCAGAGTTGATAATATCGTCGAAAACGAGCATGTCCGCAAGCCGGACAACGCAGATGTCGCTGGTGAATTTCCCGGCGTCTCCGTCGGGCTTGAAATCCTCGTGGATGATCATATTGTCCACGCCCACGGTGGTGCCTTGGTTTTCGCCTGCCGTGAAGTCCACCACACCGGCCACGATCTAAAGGTTGGTGGGCGTACATGTAAGTACTTCGTTTAAATATCCTATTAATTAATTAATTTAGAATGGTTAAATTTGCAGTAATTGCCTGGAAATATGGGATCGTAAACAAAGAACGGCAAGATTTGTTTGAACCGAATTTCTTATTTCGCTTCTCTCATAGAGAAACTAAATGAGGAATATTTCGGCTCGGGGAAAGGGAAAAAGGCAAAATATCCTCTGACGGCGTTCGTCACATCGATCCTCTCGTGAAAGGGAAAAACCATACGTAAACGCCGGTCTGATTGACGGCTAAGCAGCACTGCGCGCTGGTGACGACATTGAGCTCGTCGTAGATGAAGCCCCCGCAGAAGTGGCTCCCCATTTCCTCGTACATCTGGAAGGAGACGATCCACGGGACGTCCCCCAACTCCGCGTTCTCTCCCCCGAACAGTCTCTCGTCCTTTCCCGTCTGCCCTTCGACTGAAGTGTCGAAATGCACTTGAGTAAATGATATACTCGTGGTGGCGAACATATGAAGCTCTGAAAATTTGACTTGATCGAAGGTTATCAATTATAAGGGAAACAAAAAATGAGCGAAGACAATAAAAGAAAGTATTTTAGCACGCAATTTTTCTCCCCCGGTCAACACAAAGTGAATGCATGCTTTAAATAGCACATGAAGACAGGAAAAATCAATTTCATGTCCGCCGCACCGACAACCAATAGTATGTACCTCGTACTTCTATGGCTACTTTAGAGAGGAGCAATTGAGTCATTCCATTTCAAGTGGTTTCATTTTCGAGAGGTTGGTTGCTGCATCGAATGGGATTTTGCCGTTAAAAATTATTTGTTTTGGGGGTTACGAGAAACGAATGAATCCGAAATTTCAGCAGTTTACGTCAAACGGTCTTTGAGACATGCCCCTTGAAAGATTGAGAGGGAATGGTGAAATGACGAATGAAATGACTCAAACAAATTCCATATCTCCTGAATTACTTAAGCTAGTAAGCTGATTAATAGCGCATTTTAAAGGGAGTAGCCAGGCGTCTCAAAAATTTTTTCTATAGGTTCTTCTTTGCCTTATTTAGAACAAAGTATCAATTTGATCAAATTCATGATATCCAATTGTCAACCCTAAATAATTCACAGTGAAAATGCGTGTAACTGGACCAGTTGTGACAATCTCATAACCCCCAGAACAAATTATTTTTAAGGGCAAAATCCCAACCGGTGCAGTCAACCAACCTCTCGAAAATTGAACCACTTGACATGAAATGACTCGACTGCCGAAGGGGAATTATTGCTTTTGTCGGCCCT